ACGATTCTGTTGGAATTATTATCGGGAGTTGCATGACGGAAGAAAAAAACAAACAAAGGCAAACAGAATTGCTTCGGTGTTGTTGGTGTTGGTATTTCACAGAATCCCACATTTTGCAGGGCTAACAGCCCACAAACTATCTGCAGGCAGATATTTTCATTTTTCCTTCCAAGTCCATTTCATGTTAAAATAAAAATAAGATAACAGGGTGGTGGAATCTAAACAAGTATTAGCATGCAAGAAGCAGAATTGTTCATTTAAAAAAAAACGTTAACTCAAAGAACTTTCCCCGCTTCTTCTACTTCGACTATCCTTTGCGTTCCCAGGAAGAGGAATCAGCGGTAGCTATCATGGTAACTCACTAGATGAGTAATAATGTCGATATGACTGGACAACGGTAACCGTGGCAACTGTAACCTGCAATTGCTGCGTAACCATTGTCGGGTTTATTGTGGTAAGGGCCAAAGAGGCCAGGAGTAAAATAAAGCAGGCAGCGATGGTGTCTCACACTTCAACTGCCGGGCACTTTAATCACAGCTGACAGAAATTAACTCGGGAGGAATTTTGCAAGAGCTTTCCACCTATTTTTGTTGCTGAGGAGCTACCAGTGCCAGAGGGCAATCGCATGCAGAAGCCTGATTACAAATAAATAGGTAAAGAATTTACACTTGTAGATCCAAAAAGGAGACAGAAAGCAGCATTAGAATGCAAAATACCCAGAATAAAAACCCTATTCGCAGCAAGAGCTAAGGGCACCTGAGTTGTGTTTCATGGTTTCTGAGCCCCCACTGAGGACATGGCACAAAATTAGCTACTTTCGTAGAAATCTCACAGATTCCATCATTCAGTGGGAAATACACAATTGCCGGTTGTGGAGGTAAACTCCACTTTCTAAGGCTGACAGATAAAAGCATGTCAAGCGTACATGTCCCAGGGCATGTCGAATTTTTCAACTTTCAATTTGCAAACATTAAGGGTGCTCAAAAGTTGCGAGACGCCCAGAGAATTGTAAAGATATTTTGGCTATTTGAATATAGTTTAGATGTGCTTGGTAAGTAACTACGTAAATACTGTAACTTTTTAACATTTTGTTTGTTTCACCAACCCAGTTCCAATGTCTGACTCTATACGTATTTGTGTGTATTCTGGTTTGGGGCTATTACGGAGACTTCCTGTCAGAGTGTCGAAATGTAGTAGTGTCCAAGCACAAGTACTGAAGTATTTAGTATTTAATCCATGAACCCGCTGTAGAAAGGTATGAGGTTTTAAACCACACCGTCACTTGTCAAAGTCAAATACTATTATCTACTTCTCTTCACTTCAGGCTTGGTCTAAACCTAGCATAGGTAGATATTGGAGCAAGAGCCCACAAGGGGCCAGTCTGAATATTATTTGCTGCTTTGTGACAACTCACACAATAAATTGTTGGATCCGGCATTTAACTGTCAGAGCCTTAGACAAGCTTCAACAGAGACTTATCCAAGCTCTACTAAAAGCCCAATTAAGCTGCTAATATTTTTAGAGGGATTAAAAAGTAAGTCAAGTGAAAGGAAACCCATTAACTCTTAAATCAACTGTTAAACTATCTATTTTCTAGTTGCTGTAATTAGGAATGCAGGATCTACAGATTTTTTTTAAATGTGAATTTTGCTCGCCAAATTTCTTTCCTGCAGCAAAAGGAAATTGATGGACTGGGGCCTAATCCAGGGGTCTCCAACCTTGGCAACTTTAAAACCGGGAGGACTTCAACTCCCAGAATTCCCCAAGCTGGGAGTTGAAGTCCTCCAGGCTTAAAGTGGCCAAGGCTGGAGACCCCTGGTCTAACCAGTCAAATTAAGCAGTCAAAACTTCTTTACCTCAGATAAGCCCTCATGAGGCTATAATGGTTTGCTGAATGAAAGGTTCTTTGCTGATGCATTTGCTGTGGGTTGCCAGAGATAACCCAGGCTATGCCAGCAAAATACTTGTTGAACAAGAGGCAAGAACACAGAAATCATGACGCAGGCAGCTTCAATGCTCTTCAAACAGGCACAGGGTAAAACTGTGAGCCTTCACACAGTACAACCTCATAGCACAATAGCCAGTTAAACATTCCCAACATTCTTGGTAGCAGGGTTGGCCGTTAAGCTGTGTTGTAAATTTTAGTGTCTCATGAAAAGTATTTCCAGAGGAAACCTTCTTAAGGACGGAGTTTTTAAATAAAATGCAAAATGCAATGGCACCCTCCAATGAAGGATATTTGGGGAGGCTGAAATATGAAAACATTGAATTAACCATGTTTTTGTTAACCACTATTGCGTGTAGTTTTATGTTTCTGCTCTGCAGCATTCTATAAATAGAGTTGATGCTATTTTAACAGGTTTTGTTAATGGGATGGACAAATAATAATGCTATTTAAATTGGTCTCCTGGCCCAAAACAAGTTCTGATTGTACTAGAGAAACATTTTGACCTGAGTTCATAGTTTGATCTTAAGTCAGCCAAAGAAAAACTGGGGAAGACAGCAAAGGAACCTATATATACAGGCTGCTAGCAGCATCTAACTATGCCTACTATTCTACTACATAGCGCACTCTCTTAATACTGTGTTTCCACTAAACAACAAGCATAGGAGCCCCTTTCTCTAGCAAATTATTTCTTAATTGCAAATGTCAGATAATTAACCCTGACAGGCTTTAATAACTTCCAAAGGTTTATTGTATGCAAAGTAGCAGAGAAATGCTGATTAGCTGAACACAATTGCTGCCAATTGTGATCTAAAATATAAGCATTCTCAAATCATCTGAGAAAAACAGTCACTAGGAACACGGGTAAATTATTATATTTATTAAGTTGTGCTAACACAAGGCTTAAAGTTGTTTATCCTGGTTGATTGGTTTACCGTAAGCCTTAGGCTTAAAGAATCATCATCTTATAATTTCCTACACTTACTAATTTCACATTGGAGATGCTGCTGAATTCATGAAACTATAACACTAAAGCGACTATAGCTTTTGGCTATTTAAAATTATATGATACTACTAAAATATCCCCTTAAAGTTCTATTTCTTTTACAAATACATATTATAAATGAAACTTTCTTTCATAAAAATTATTAGTTTCATAATTTATAATTACATCAATCCTTTTATGGAGTTCTGTTCAAGTAGAAAGAGAATGTATGAATGTGTTCATCAAACAATTTTTTAAAACTTTTACATCCATGGATCTACTCAAATGTCAATTTCTGCTACAGTTAGAACAAAGTATTTTTTTAAAAAGCTTTAATTCATTTAGAAAGACAACAACATTAACACAATATATCTTATAGCAAAAAATAAAAATACTTTGTAGAAACTTACAGATTTAAAATGCTAAATGTGGGATACCAGATTTTAAAAACAAACACTGTTTTAAGGAATGATCTTTACTACTTCAATTTCACTGTATTCGTTTTAGAATTTTTAATGTCATTTCTGGGCAAATCTGGGTAGTAGTAGTAGTAGTATTAATAGTAGTAGTAAATAACTACAACAACAATAATAAAAATAATAACAATAATAACAATAATAATAATAATGACTAATAATAAGTGCCATGTTTGAATTTACTTTCTGATATCATAGATAGCTTAATGAGGAAACAAGCCCTATCATGCATTTTCAATTTTTCCAATAAAATAATAAGATTCTAAGAATATAACAAACAATGAAACATGGTTTAATAGAGAAAAATTAAAACATTGATTCTACTAGTAATCGTTACCCATATGGAGCTATATAACACTAAAGTGAGTAATTCACCACATTTGTTTAGTGAAAATACATCCATTCAATCAAAACGTGTCACCTTTTTTTGATGACAGGTGCCTGTTTCAGCCCAACTTTTTATGAAATTTACCTACCTTGCTTCCTCAGGGAAAATTTGGTAGGTATATCAATGAAGTTTATAGTTTATTCTGTGGGGGTTGGAAAAGGTTTTGGGCCATGCGTGCATGTGTATTTATTTGACCCATATAGGTATATTTATACATAAATTCTGTGGGGTTTTTGTCTCTTCTTTTGTCCTTCCTTCTGAACATCAAACCACCAAAAGTTCTTCAGAGGCATCTCTCTCCCTCTCAAACATGAACTAACACACTGGCAGGAAGTATCAGTTCGACCTCATGGCGAAGAACGGCTGGCCCTGGGAAACGGGCAGGGAACTTTGGGTGCTGGCTGTGCAACTGACAAGATTGTAACCAAAGGCAACACCTTTGAGCAGAGCAAGCCCTGGTGATGCCCGAAAGGATAACCGAGCAATGACAGAACACAAATATCACTAAGTATCTGACACCGGCAGGTAAGACACATCACACATCTGTTTTCTTCTCCCTTCCATGGAACTCTCATTCTTCCAACCTTTTGTGGAGATATATATTGCGTACGTGTGGTCCTCGACTTATGACCGAAACGGAGCCACTATTTCCGTTGCTAAGTGAGACAAGCGGGTTTTGCCCCCATTTTATGACCTTCCTTGCCATGACTGTTAAGTGAATCACTTCGTAAATATGAAAAAGGCTGTAAGTTGCTTTTTCCAGGGTCGTCGTAATTTTGAACGGTTGCTAAATGAATTGTTACAAGTTGAGGACTACCTGTATAGAATATATCGTCCCAAAAGTCAAGAAAAAATAGGATACCAGCGTTCCTCGAACCAGAACCCACCCCCAATGCTTTCTTTAAACTATTCCCTATAAGATAGAAGCCATTCTGACAGGTTCCCATTCCATAACTGCATTAAAAAGCAGGAAATGAGAAAAATCCAATTTTTCTCTCAGTCGGATTCAAAACAGACGCTACTCAGCTACAACAACTTAGAGCAAACACACCCGTCATGAGGGAGGGGGCAAGGCAACCGAGGGGTTCTTTTAAGGGCAGGGTTTTTTTTAAGCAGTTTATGAAACCAAATTTAATTCATGAGGTGGAAGCGTTAAAGGAATGCCTCAAAGGCCTCCGAAACAGACAAGAAAATAAATCTACTTACAGTCTGTAGAGTTTGGGCGTCCCGAGGAACAGCAGCTCGGAGAGAAGTTGAAGATTATTTCTGTTTAGCCTCCTTGATGGGAGAAAAAAAAAGAAAAGGCAGGGTTACCACTCAAATCATTCTTTCTTCAAACGAAGAACTCTACCAAGAGATGTCAAAATTAGCAGAAGAGCAGAGGACCTTGGAGGTCTTGTAGTCCAACCCTCCCTCAAGCAGGAGGCCCGATCCCATTTCAGACCAATGGTTGTCCAGTCTCTTCTTCAAAATCTCCAGTAATGAAGCACCCATAACTTCTGGAGGCAGGCTGTTCCCCTGGTTAATTGTTCTCAGTGTGAGGAAGTTTCTCCTTAATTCCAGGATGCTTCTCTCTTGGATTAATTTCCAACCATTCTTTCTTGTCCTGCCTTCCAGTGCTTTGAAAAATAAGTTGACCCCCTCTTCTTCTTTGTGGCAACCTCTCAAATACTGGAAGACTGCTATCATGTCACCC